ACCAGAACTTATTCCTCCTGTCTAACTGAAACTTTATGCCCTTTGACCAGTTGCCCCTTTGCTTGCATGGCCTTCCCAACCCGCATGACCTCTAATAACTGACATTCTACTCTGTACTTCTATGAGTTTGACTTTTTTAGATTCTACATATAAGTGAGATCATACAGTATTTGTCTTTCCATACTACCTACCTTATTTCACTAGGCATAACGCCCTCTAGATTCCTCCCCCTATAGATTCATCTGTGTTGTGACTAATATAGAATTTCCTTCTTTTTTTAAGTATTCCGTTGTGTATATATGTACCATATTTTTCAAATCCATTCAAATATCCATTGATGGGCACTTTATGTTGTTTCCATATCTTGGCTACTGTGAATAATGCTGCAATGAACATAGGAGTGCAGACGTCTCTTCAACATACTGATTTCAATTCCTTTGGGCATATACCCAGAACTGGGATTGCTGTATCATATGCTAGATCTATTTTTAGATTTTTAGGAACTTCCATACTGTTTTCCAAAGAGGCTGTGCTAATAATGTACATTCTTAGCAGCAGGATTCCCTTTTCTCCACATTCTCGTCATTGGCCCTTGCTTGTATCTTTTTATTATTGTCTATGTTAAAATCACTTTTCCCAAAAGCTGGAAGCAAACCAAGGCACAGGAAACTGGTAAATTTTTCCCACTGATTTTTAGATCTGATAAAAATTTTTTAAATGCTAAATTAATTGTCTCAAATGAAAAACTTATGTGTAGTTTTAATTTTTCATCCAGTACCATAAATTGAGATTTAACTTTTCTTGGGAAGGAAGAATATGTATGCATGCATGTGTGTGTAACAAAGAGACTGAGGTTTACTTAAAAATAGAAAAGAAAGACCATTTTTATAATATAGTCATATATAGGTAAGGAACTACGACCTCATATTCCAGCTCCCTTCAGTTAATCATACTACTATAAAGTCCTCACCACAGCACACCAAAAGTAAAACTTGTATTGACAAAGATTTCAACCACTGTTCCTGAGTTGGTCACTATATGTCTATTTATATTCTTGTTTGTGTATATTATGTATATATGCAAATATATATGCATATAAAGATAATTATGTTAATAGATATGGACACATATATATATATAACATAGGCACACATTAACTTGTTCAAATGAATATAAACACATGTACTGGTGCTTTCATAAAATATAATATATTCCAAATTGAGTTCTGGATTCAATTTGTATGTTCAGTTTTACTCTGTCTTCCCCTGAGAAAGCTTTTAAATATATCTGGGGCAAAAATGTTGTGGTAGTTTCAGCTGTTCCTGCAACCACTTTCGCTATTTGTGTCATTATTATTGCTGCATAATCTGAACATAAAAAAACATGGTGCTGTAACAAATGACTTCCCACTGCTGACAGTTATAGCAGCAGCATTTCAATACTGATGAAAAATTTCCCAGCAAGATATCTGGCCAGGTTTACATAAACCAAACAGGAAATGGCTGCCACTATTCACATTAAATCCAAACCATTTGGTGTAACTTTATCTGTGTTTTACATTAATATAAAACCTCTTTCATTCTCAACTGGTGAAATTTCATCAGTATTAAGATTTGAAAAAGTAACTTGAGATTTCTTATGTAGTATTCTTGTTTGTCCTTTGATAAGATCTTTTAAAGGTAATTGTTGAAAAGTTTTTTAGTTTTTGATTCTTTAAATTTTATGAACTTTGTAAATTTTTATGATAGGGAGAGTTTTGTTACTACTTTTTCCCAATGGACTGCTAATAGAAGTTAGCTTGTGTAGCCCATGTGCTAGATGCTGTCAGTATCAAACTGCCTTTGACTTTCACACCTCTCAGGGGACTAGTAATTGTTGTGTTCAAACAGCCTGTAATTGTGATCCCGCTGGCTTTCTCAGTACGCTTCTGGCTATTAGAATCATTAAACAACTCAGCACCTGTTAACAGCATTGTAAATATTCAACCCTGCTTGTGTGCAGGTTGAGTCCAATATAGAGAAATCTTACAGAGCTCAGTCTCATAAATTAGAGCTTCTGACAAGTCAATTATTGTGAAACTGGGTTTCTCTGTGAAATAAATGAAATAGCATGCTGACAAAAAGGTAGGCTGTCTGTTTATGGCAAAGAGAAGATAATGACTTGATGATTCAATGCAGTGAACATGAAACTACATTTTATCCTTTACCCATAATTAAACAGTTGTGAAATGTTTGTGTTTAAATAACCAGTAAATTACAAATTTTGTACTGTGGAGAGTGCAATATGAAAACAGACCTTTTTACTTAGCTGTTGCATGCTTTTTCAAGTTAGTAAAGTGATTATTAAAATTAATGACATGTAATGTTTTAAGCTAAATGCTTATAATTGTTCAGGCTAGAAGTTGCACAGTAACTAAAAAAAAGTTCACCTCATAGAAGTAAAGGCTATGTTATGCTACTAATAGAGATCATATAAATCTGTAGTCTATCCCTTATATTAACTCCCAGAATTTTATGTAACCTAAAAAACTTCATTTACATTTAAATTATTTTACAGTGTCTCACAAATTGTATATCTAATTTAGATGTAACAATACCTTACTTTTATAAGGATTTGAAGATATTTTAAATGCCCTTAGAACCTCAGTCCAAATGTTGACAAAGAATAGTATTTGGTAAAGATCCGTGAAGTTCAATTTACTTGAATTGAATTTTGTGTTTCTTCTGTTATGCAAGTCAATAAGAATGTTGGTAACCACATTTAGAAAAAAAAAAAAACTGTATTAAGAATAAATAACAATGAAATGTGTATGTTTTCTGCACAAAGAAATGTGAACTTTTAGCAAGTTAGATTATGAGTAATATTTTAGTGGAGTCATCATATAATTTATTGTAATCTCAGCAACATCATTTAGGTTGATTTTTCTTTTTTTTTTGGCAATGTACTTTAAATGTTTAAGCAATATTTACTCTGACTGTATTTTATCTGGATGAAAACCACAAATTTGTCTTTAAAAAGTCCCAATACACTTAAATAAACAGACTTTAGGCGGGATATTAATCCATTGAAATATACTTTGTAAAACATATTAAACAAATTAAAGCAAATACAGTAAATAAAATAAGATAAATATTTAAAAGAACCTGTAATTTTTTTCAAGGTAAGTTTTTTTGATTGATAGTTTTAAGTGTTATTTGTAAATGCACCAAATTTATTCATTAAAGCATAAAATAATAAAGTTGGCATCCCAGTTATATATAGGACAATGGCTTATGGTAATCAGTAACAGCATCCATTAGTTTTCTAATGACCTAGTAAATGTATAGATAAAAGTAGAATTTTAGTTTTTTTGTATTTCACAGTAATATTTTCAAAATACCTTCTTTCTGTAATGTCAGTTACATAAAGAATTGTTTGTTCCAAGATCAAGGCAGACAGATTTGGTTAGTTTGATTCTTACTCTACAAATCGTACTACTTAGTATCCTGGGCACATTTTTACTAGTGTTTTCAATTTAGAAATAACTTTATCAGTTATGCATTAGTCCTGACAGCTAAAAATGGTATTGGAAAATTTATAGACTTAGCAAGCCAAAAGAATGTGAAATACAAAGTAAGCACTTATGTTGCAGAAAGTTTGACTGATGAATTTCTTTTCTTGGGAAACAATGAAAGAGAAAAAATATTTTAAAAATTTGGAATGACTTTGGATATTTGTATCTTTTATATGGCTTGAATGTCCAGAATTTTTATTTTCACCTCTAAAGCAGAAGACATTATTCTAACTAAATACTCCTCCTTAGTCATTTTCCAAAAGAAAAGAAATATTTTATAGTGGTTAATAATTTTGGTTTTTCACTTCCATAGTTATACATAAATTTGAACATTTTGTTTAAATTAATGACAGCACTAGGTTTAGTACTTATTTATCTCTTAATTGATTAATATTGCTTTATTTTGGTCCATGCCAAGAGCTTTTCTAGAAAAAACAGTAACTTTTCGATAGATAAAATTAAAGTAACTATTCCTTTTTAATGAAAGGTATTTTCCCAAATAAATTCCAATAGTGCCTTACTATAATAATTTTTATGTAATGGAGCCTCTCGTATTTGGGTGTACCTAGCCATTTGCACTAACTTTTCTTTCTAATGAAAATATGTCCTGACATTATTAGTCCTGCTTTGTGTATTTTTAAATTTTTTTTATAATTTACTGACCCCAGGTCTCTTCCTTTGAAGAATGAAAAATATCACAAAAATTGTCATCTAGATAGTATTCTCCATTGCTCTCAAGTTGTGGCTTTCTTTAGTCCTCTCCCATTTGAAATTGTTAGCACCCTTTTCCCAGACTATGAATATTCCCTTCCTAATCCTATACAGATATAAAACCATCATGATGGGGTCTTACGGATGAGAACCTGTTCTCTAAGACTACTTTCCACTGCCATTCTTTGATGTGGATGGGGAAAAGCAAGGTAGGGCATATAAATTACTCATTCTGATTAGGATACAGGGTTCACCTAGCAGGAATTAGGGAACTGCCAAGATTGTGGGTGTAGTCCCTTGCTCTTCCGGTCTATTTCCAGGCACAGATCCCTAGTGGCCGTAGGGTTTTGCCAAGAACTTCTCAGTGTTGCAGGGAGGCACAATCAGGTGAAATATATGTCTTTAGGCTTTTTGCTTGGAAAATATACAGAGCTGGACTTACGTATTTTTCCTGTATTGAGGTTTGGTTAGAACGCTTTATTTTTACCCTGCTGATGTCCCTTCTAGTCATTAGGATGTCATTTATTCCCTAAGCACTAGGGGAACAATAATTGAATAAATTGCCTAAATTTAGTCATCTACCACCCAAGATTAATATTTCTGTGAGTTTTGTGAAGTTACTGAGGATAGGTTTTATAATAAAAGGGGATTATATTTATATGTAGCCTGTGAAACTGAGGTGATAGTTTTAGTAGAAAATATCTTGAAACAAATAATAACCTTGCTTGTTTTCTAGCTACTACAATTTGGGTGATGTGAGCCATGATTCTGTGAACAAGTTTCTGTCCCATCTGATTGAGAAGTCCCTGATTGAATTGGAACTTTCCCACTGTATTGAAATTGGAGAGGTACGACTTAGTCATATGCATTCTAATTGAAAAGATAGCCCAACTTTTTAACAGGTCTTTTGCTTCTAATACTATCAAAATTTTTAACAAAATTGTTTCAAAAGCAGCTGTCTGAATTACTAATTTTATAAAGATACCTACTTTCATGTACTCTTCATTTGTTATTCTTTTGAAATAGGATAATCGCAGCATTGAACCTCTAACTTATGGCCGAATTGCCTCCTATTACTATTTGAAGCATCAAACGGTTAAAATGTTCAAGGACCGCTTGAAGCCTGAATGCAGTACTGAAGAATTGCTTTCAATTTTAAGTGTGAGTTTTTCATATATTTCGTATCTTCTCTTTTAATTTAGGGCTTAAAGTTTTGCCACCTAGTTTGTCTTGAAATGTAACAGAAACCATTTATAAAGCCCTTTCCTCTGTTAAACAGGGTCACTACAAAGCAACACATGCAGACTAAGATGCCCATAGATAAGGTGACCACATAATATATCATCAAAATTTGGACCCTTCTGAGTGTGGAGTGAGGCCCTATTAGTATTTAAGCCAGGATAGTAGATGTAAACCGGATTGTCCTGAGCAAGGCAAGTCATCACCCTATCCTTAAATATAGTAGCCTCTTTGAATTATGATTGAAAACTTTTCTTATTGCTTTTTTGGATGGTTCCTGTTGAATACTTATCTGTGATGCTACTGAAGTTTCTTTCATAAGCATCCACACAATTAAGTTCTTAGAATTAATGTCAGTACAGCTGTATATCCCCCATCCCCACAAACACCCTTACCAAAAAAATGACCACAGTTATATCACATGGTAAAAAACTATACTTTGTTCATTTTTCCTTTTTTTGCCAAATAGCTAAGAAATTGATATTAGAAGCATCTTGTCTACCTTTCTTTCTACATAATGTATCCTTCTGGCTTTTCTTCACTTTGTTGATTTTAAGTGTAATAATTTACCACAAATCTTTGTTAACACATTAGTTAGGATATTCATATATTCTGACTGTTATCTTATCCTTCAGATGTGTTGGTGCTTTTTTAAAAAGTTAAGAACAATTGGACCATTCTGTCTTTAAAGTCCTTCTGTTATAAATTCATTGATTCTATGGTAGTTCCCTGAGTAACTTTTTTCCTTCCTCTTCTATTGCTTTATCATTCTCAATAAGCTTCAGTATCCTATTCACAGGTTTTAAATTTCTCAGTTTTTTCCCCTCCAAGAAATTAGTTTGTAAATTTTGTGCCCAGCATAGTGCCATGTACATTTTAGTGAGTTTGAAAATATTTATTAATGAATTGATGAACAGATGGGAGGATAGATGGATCCTGTAGTAATCAGTTTTCTATTTGCTGTGTAGAAAAGCATAGAGGACTAAAGTATATGAGGTAGCTACCGAAAAATATTTTTTTTAACTTAAAAATTTATTTCTGATGGAAGAGTACAAAGTATAAAGACTTTTTTAGATCCTTAAGAATGATATTTTTATCAGCTTCTAGCCAAAGATTCAAAAAAGTAGGATTTCTCTTGGGGAGAGACTGTTAGCACAGGCAGCAAAATAATGGTTAATAAATTTGGGCATGCCTCTTAGTATCTGTTAGATTTAAGACTATAATTTATTTCGTATTTATCTAATCTCATATTTAAGCATACTTTTCTGCCTTGGAAACGTATAATAACAGCTAACACCTTTGAGCAGTTTTTACGCACTAGACATTAAGAACTTTAAATTAATAAACTAATTTAATCCTCACAACAACCACTCATTTGATATTAATAACATCCCATCATTTTTCCCATTTTAAAGGTTAACCATCTTGTCCAAAGTGAGTAGCTCGCAGTGTAGCACCAGAATATGGGCCCTGAAACCATCCTACTATACTGCCTCTCAAGTCATACACATACACACACACACACACACACACACACACACACACACACACACACACAGTTAGATGGAAGGCATTGAGGTGGGAGGTACAAAGTAACAAGTTAAAACTAGATACACGCTGTAAAGGAAGTTTGTGAGAATCATATGCCTACTACATTCTGTACCCCTGTTTACTCCACTAAAAAAGCCAAAAAAACCTTAAAATCCCAGGGAAATTAAACATTTGCTTTAGTCTTCTCTTTGAAAAGGCATTGATCACGAAAGGTCTGTTCCCATCCTGTCAGCAGCATGTTTCTTTCTGGCATTACACTATATGAAACCAGTTATGCTAATCTGTTGGTATATTTTTGTTATATATTTTGTTAAAATAAAGTCAGTTCTGAATTTATTTTACCTTTTACACAAAAGGTCTGTTCCCATCCTGTCAATAACTGAATAAATGGAACCATCTGAAAATATGTGTAAGGAAAGCTATATAGTGGAATATTTATATAGATATGATATGGTCTACCCCATAAAAATTTCCACAGCAAGAATTCTTCTCTCATGGTGTTTAGTCCAAGGAGCTCTCGGCTTGCACTAGATATTGTCTCAGTCTCCATTATCTCAGTGAGGGTTCATTCTGAATGAAGAACCATAGGACTCACATTGACAAGAAGATATGTGGGTATCACACTGTTTTCTTAATTTCTTGCCTAGGAATTATTCTTCGTTCACTAGCAAACACTATGTGTAACTACCACCAAAATCCTAAATAATACAGCAAGATTGTAAAATTATGTTGTAATTTCCAGAAATCGTTCTCTTAAGTTTCTTTAAATGACTTTTTTTTTAACCATGAAAAGACTACCAAATGACTCACAGAACCTCAGTATCCCCCCTACTTTTGCCTCCAAAAATGCATATTCATGTCATTGTGGTTTTAAAATAAGGAGAAACTAGTAGTCAGACAGAAGCAGTAGGGAACAGGATGATAAAAGCATAAGAAGATGAGGAAAGCTGTGGGGATAACATTAGTGTTTCAAAGATCTGTTTCCATTGTCATTGCTTTTGTTATCTTAATACTTAAAGTCATATCATGTTTTTGTACAATTCACTCATGTAACATTCATTATTAATGCTTCCTTTTACTAAGATATATTCATTGATGTTTCTAAAGTCATTTTTAATCTTTAGTTTTTAAATTTTTAGTATTTCTGATAACATTACAACTGAAATACTTCTATTTTTTTTGAGTATTACTTTGAACTTTCCATAATATTTTCTTAAATTTTATTAGTGAATAAAGTTTTCTTATTTCTTAAGCTACCCATTAAATTTGTCTTTTGGTTTTCAGGATTTTGGGGTATTAATAACATATAGAAATTAGGTTCATTAAGATTTTTCTTTTGGGTCCTCTGAATATATTGCATTGTGATGATTGTGGGCACAAAAAATAAGCTAAAAGGTAATCATAAATTGGAAAAAAAGAATATTAAAACATGAATTCACTCTTACCAAACATTTCTAAATATATAAACCTATTATTTCTCTCCTATTATCATCAAAACATAGTTTCAAGTGATAGTCTCTTGATGGTATCTAGTCCTAACTGATGGTACCCTCTTTTGGACCTTTTCTTCCTTTAGAGAATATAAGTATTTATAATCTTGTACTGAGCTATATGGTTTTCTCTTTTTTAAAAAATGAGTTGGAATTCTTACCCTTTATGTGGTCATTTTGCATATTACTATTAACTTTTCTGAAATAAGAATTAGAATTTCCAGAATACAAAATCAATGTACACAAATCAGTAGAATTTCTACACACCAAAAACATTCAAGCTGAGAGTCAAGTCAAGAATGCAATCCCATTCACAATAGCGACTAAAAGAATAAAATGCCTAGAAATACATCTGACCAAAGAGATGAGAAATCTCTGTAATGAGAATTACAAAACACTGCTCAAAAACAGAGTTGACACAAACAAATGGAAAAACATTTCATATTCATAGATAGGAAGAATCAATATTGTTAAAATGGCCATACTGCCCAAAGCAATTTATACATTCAGTGCTATCTCTAACAAACTACCAATGACATTCTTCACAGAATTAGGAAAGACTATTCAAACTTTATATGGATCCAAAAAAGAGCTTGAATAGCCAAGGCAATCCTAAATAAAAGGAACCAAGCTAGAGATATCATGTTACCTGACTTCAAACTATACTACAAGGCTACAGTAACCAAAACAGCATGGTGCTAGCACAAAAACGGACATAGACTGATGGAACAGAATAGAGAGCCCAGAAGTGAAGCCACATACCTACAACCATCTAATTGTCAGCAAAAAGAATGAGAAAGAAGACTCCCTATTCAATAAGTGGTGCTGGGATAATTGCCTAGCCATATGCAGAAGATTGAAATAGGACCCCTTCCTTACCCAAATACAAAAGTCAACTCAAGATGGATTAAAGACTTGAATGTGAAACCTAAAACTACAAAAACTCTGGAAGGTAACCTAGGAAATACCATTCTGGACATAGGCCCTGGCAAAGATTTCATGAAAAAGATACCAAAAGCAGTTGCAACAAAAACAAAAGTTGACAAATGAGACCACATTAAACTAAAGAGCTTCTACATAAGAAAACAAATTATCAGTAGAGTAAACAGACAGCCTACAGAATGGGAGAAAATATTTGCAAACTATTCCTCTGACAAAGGTCTAATATTCAGAATCTGTAAGGAACTTAAACAAATTAAGAAAAAAAACAAACAACCCCATTAAAAAGTGGGCAAAGGACATGAACAGATACTTTTTAAAAGAAGATATACATATGGCCAATAAGCATATGAAAAAAATGCTCAACATCACTAATTATTAGAAAAATGCAAACCAAAACCACAATGAGATACCATCTCACACCAGTCAGAATGACTGTTATTTTAAAAGTCAAAAAATAACAGATGCTGGCAAGGATGCAGAGAAAAGGCATCATGTATACACTGCTAGTAGAAATGTAAATTAGTTCAGCCATTGTAGGAAGCAGTGTGGCAATTTCTCAAAATGCATTGCTAATAGAAATGTAAATTAGTTCAGCCATTGTGGAAAGCGGTGTGTAGATTTCTCAAAGAACTTAAAACAGAACTACCCCTTGACCCAGCAATCCATTATTAGGTATATACCCAAAGGAATAAAAATTGTTCTGCCATAAAGACACATGCACGCATATGTTTATCGCAATACTATTCACAATATCAAAGTCATGGAATCAACCTAAATGCCCATCAACAGTAGACTGGATAAAGAAAATGTGGTACATACATACCATGGAAAACTATGCAGCCATAAAAAAAGAATGAAATCATATTCTTTGCAGAAACATGGATGGAGTTGGAAGCCATAATCCTATGTGACACACAGGAATAGAAAACCAAATACCAC